TTAGCAAATATAAGGCCCTGAGTTCAAACCTGCAAATACTGCAAAAAAAGAAAGAAAAAGATGCAGACTAGTGAGAACTTCTCAATGGATTTTCTAGAGTAAAACAGACTATGAAGCAGGTTTTTAAGAATCAAAAGGGCTGCCCAGGACTGTATTTGATTAGTAAAGGATAAAAGGTAAGAGGTACAAACCCAAGTACACCTAATCTTAAGTGAAAGTTTAAAACCAAAATAATATTTTTTTAACATGACCTCGCTCTTAAAATGCTTCTTCGGAGGCTGGGCATGATGGTTCACACTGTAATCCCAGATACTCAGGAGGTAGAGATCGGGAGGATCTTGTCTTGAGGCTAGCCCAGGCAAAAAGCTAGCAAGACCCCCATCTCAACAAATAAGCCAGGTACGGTGGCATGCATGTGTCATCCCATCTAGGCATAGATAGGAGGACTGAGGCCCAAGGCCAACTCCAGGCATAAAAGAGAAACCCTATCTAAAAAATAACTAAAGCAAAATAGGGCTGAAGACATGGCTCAAGTGGTAGAGTGCCTACCTAGCAAGCATAAGGCCCTGAGTTCAAATTCCAATACTGCCCAAACAAACACACACTTCTTTTCAGCTATCTTTTGGTTTGGTCTGGTCAACTCAGGAACCATCCTGCCTCCCTCCCAAATGGGAATAAACAAATATGCATCTATTGAGAACTCTGATTCTTTTCATGTACATGAAGAAAACTAAAATTAACGGCTGGATCCTGATAGTTTCATCACATTTCTTCTCCACAAATAATAAATATTAGGATGTAAAAGCTTCAAAATTAAAGTCTGTCAGGCCTACAGAGATATGGAACAGGCCAGAGCTAAAGGCAACTGTTTAAATGAGAGAACCCCAGACACGGTGGGAACTGGATTCCTTCCTGCACCCCTTAATCAAGATTGAGTTTCTGTCAACAGGTCTCACTTAGGAAAAAAAAAAAAAAAGGCACATGCGTCAACCACATTCCCCCAAACAAATCAAGCTGCCAAGCCAAGAGAAGAGAATCAGCTTCATATTTCAAAATTATCTGAATCTGCCACAGCTCAGAATCTTGCAAAACTAGATATAGTGCCAGTGGAAAAATAGCTATTAGTGACCAATAATCCTACAAGAGACCTGAGGAAAAACCAATCCCTTATGCTATGAACTAGTTAGGTTATTTTTAAGACTGCCTATCAAATGTCATCCATCATATCATACAGTTCATTTCCTGTTTTCAATAAGTAAAGAATGAGATGTTACACACACAAATCCCTTTCCTTAAGGAACTCACAGTTGAGTGGAGAATACATACAGACAACAATTAGGACACAGGCATAAACGGAGGACACTCAGGAAATGCAGAGGAGAACAAGATGAAGGCCATTCAATGAAGGCTTCCTGGCAGAAGTGATACCTACAGATATTGACAGACCTGCAGAGTACTAAATTAAAAATGAATGTTGACTTTTTCTGGGGAAAGAAATAAATGGAAAAGGAATCATATGGGGGCAAATACACATGAGGAAGATTGCAGAAGAATGTAATGTTTCCACATTCATCTGAAATTAACCTCCACTGCCTCCTGTTTTCTCACTCTCAAACCAAAAATAACTAGCTTTGACAAGCTCTATAAATCAAAAGGTGCAAGTTCAGAGTGAGTGGGGGAAAGCTGCAGAGGGCACATTCTAAGCAGGGTTGAAATAGTGGACTAGCAGCTCATAGCAAAACAAAGACTTTGGTGTGATAGATGTTCTCAAGCACCTCACTATGCAGCAGCTTGTATGATGTGCCCTGCTATTTCTATTAGAGAAAAGCATGAGTTAAACAACTGGTAATATAATAAACAGAGCAAGTACTAACTACATTAGAAGTAGTTAGTTAAAATAATCCCATCCAGGCAGTGCCATTTCCCCAGGAACACCCTCTCCTACTTTCACAAGGGGTAAGAGATCCTATTACATCAGCACAAATAAAACAGAGTTGAGTTATTTTCATTTTGCCAAGGGAGAAAAAACATTTTTTTCCTTGTAAATACAGGATTATCAGGAGTCAGTAAATGGCAACGTAATCCAGTATACAATTTTAACTGTTAATCAAAGTCATAAACTAAATCTGAAAAAAATTTAATGGACTTTGCATTTCCACATTTATATTTGCTTAACTTCTATGTTGAAATTGGATCTGTTTACAGAAACAGATCTATGAAGCTTCCAAAATTGGGGCAATTCAAAATCCAATGACAATCCCTCACTGTCCAAATACTCAGAAGTCAGCACAGGACACATGGACACTTGTCCTAAATCATCACTGTCCAGAAACCCCAAACAAATATATTTTTCTATCATTTATCTTTTAAATTTGTGAGCATCATGTCACCCTTCTTTAAGAATTTACAATGCATAGAATTCAATAAACCTAAACAACTAATAAAACTCATATGGAAATCACAAAAGTTTGAAGCCAGCCTGGACTACTTAGTGAGACGTCATCTAAATATTTAAGTAAAAACATTCTTTTGACCAGTAATTTCACTGGGTAAGATACCCTAGCAGAACCATATAATATGGAATACCTCCATTTAATAACTATTAAAATTATGTTGAACATGGGTAAATATTCATAACCTCATTATTGAGTGTATAAAAAGGTAACAATGTTTTATTGTTTTGTTTGTTTTTGAGGTACTGGGGTTTGAACTCAGGGCTTCACACTTGCTAGGCAGGCACCCTACCAGCCTTGTTTTTGCGTTGAGTATTTTGGCGATAGGGTCTCACAAACTATTTGCGCAGGGCTGGCTTCAAATGGTAATTACAGGTGTCAGCCACTGGCACTGAGCCATAACAATGGTTTTTAGTGTATGATTTTTTTTTGTTGTTCTGGTGGGGCTGGAGTTTAAACTTAGCATTTCAGCACTTGCAAAGCAGGGATTCTACTGCTTGAGACACAAATTCACTCCATTTTGCTCTGGTTATTTGGAGATGGGGTCTCATGAACTATTTGCCTAGGCTGGCCTTGAACATCAATCCTCCCGATCCCAGCCTCTCCAAGTACCTACGATTACAAGCATGAGCCAGCAGCACTCAGCCCTTTTTGTGGGGGGAGTTTTGCAGAGTGTGGGGAGAATAGAGGGAGGAATTCTGGAGGTTGAACTCAAGACCTTGTGCTTCAATAGTCAAGTTATGGAAACAGCCAAGATGCCCCACCACTGACAAATGGATTAAGAAAATGTGGTATTTATACACAATGGAATTTTATGCAGCCAAGAAGAACGAAATGTTATCATTTGCTGGTAAATGGATGGAATTGGAGAACATCATTCTGAGTGAGGTTAGCCTGGCCCAAAAAGACCAGGCTAACCTGGTATGTTCTCCCTCATATGCGGACATTAGATCAAGGGCAAACACAACAAGGGGATTGGACTTTGAGCACATGATAAAGCGAGAGCACACAAGGGAGGTATGAGGATAGGTAAGACACTAAAAAACTAGATAGCATTTGTTGCCCTCAACACAGAGAAACTAAAGCAGATACTTTAAAGCAACTGAGGCCAATAGGAGAAGGGAACCAGGAACTAGAGAAAAGGTTAGTTCAAGAATTAACCTAGAAGGTAACACACATGCACAGGAAATCAATGTGAGTCAACTCCCTGTATAGCTATCCTTATCTCAACTAGCAAAATCCCTTGGTCCTTCCTATTATTGCTTATACTCTCTCTTCAACAAAATTAGAGATAAGGGCAAAATAGTTTCTGCCGGGAAGTGAGGGGGTGGGGGGGAGAGGGAGGGGGCGAGGGGAAGGGAGGGGGAGGGAAGGGGGGAGAAATGACCCAAACATTGTATGCACAGATGAATAAAATAAAAATTTGAAAAAAAAAAAAAAAAAGATCTTGTGCTTGCTAGGCAGGCACTCTACCACTTGAGCCATATCCCCAACCCTTATTGCTTTAGATATTTTTCAAATAGGGTCTAGAGTTTATGCCCCCACGGGCCTGGATCAAGATCCTCCTGTTTATACTTCTCGGGTAGCTGGGATGACAGGCATGCACCACCTCAACCAACTTTTATTGGTTGAGATGGAAGTATCTCAAACATTTTGCCAAGGCTGGACTCAAACATAATCTTTCCAATCTCCATTTTCCAAGTAGCTATGATTACAGGCATGAGCTACTATGCCCAGTCTGATTTTATTTTTGGAGACAGGGTCTCAGTACGTAGAGCAGATTGGACTTGAACTCACTATGTAGACCAGGCTGGCCAGGCTGGATCTCTGATCCTCCTGCCTCAGCCTCTTAAATTTTGGTATTACATGCATGCACCACCATGCCCAGCTAGTATATGATTTTTTAAAATGAAATACAGGCACAGAAAAAAACTATAAAGTCTATCAAAAAAATATCAGCCACAAGCCAGGCACTAGTAGCTCAGGCCTGTAATCCTAGCTTGTCAGGAGGCAGAGATTAGGAGGATCATGGTTCGAAGCCAGACTGGGCACACAGTTTCATGAGACCCTCTCTTGAAAAACCCTTCACAAAAAGGGCTGGTGGAATAGCTCAAGGTGAAGGCCCTGAGTTCAAGCCCCAGTACCGCAGTATCTGAAGACCTGAAACAGAGGTCTTCTATTTGCTTTTCCGTATTATATAAATCTCCTTCTAAAATATGTTTTTACCTTATAAAGACACATAAAGTCTTATAAACACTTATAAAGCTGATCTATTAATGTTCCCTTATTCCTTTTTTTTCTTTTTTGTTAAGACTGAGGTTTGAACTCAGGGATTTGCAAAACAGGTATTCTATCACTTAAGTCATACCTCCAGTCCATTTTGCTATGGTTACTTTGGAGATGAGATCTTATGAACCATTTGTCTGGGCTAGTCTTGAACCAAGATCCTTCCAATCTCAGCCTCCCAAGTAATGATTACAGGCATGAGTGACTAGTACCCAGACACTTATTCCTTTTTAATGTAACTCACTGTGAAGATGGCCTTACCTGTGTTTTAAGATCAGTCTATCCAGTCCACTAGCCTACAGCCTTGTCTTAAAGTTGCAATATACTGTTTCACGTCTCTTCTGAAATCTTGAAGTCTGGCAGATACTTATTAAGAATCTGAAAGTAGCAGAAAACTGATGAAAAAAGTTCAATTTAAACTTTAAAAAAAAATCCTTGCTATGTGTGTGCACTTCATTTTATTAGAGTCTCCTACATGCAACATAGGAAAAATAAATAAAAGACCAAGGATACCTACCCTCAAAACCAAAGGGTACTTCTGAGAGCCAAACAGAAGTATGGCATGCATCTCCCAACATGCCACACTTAATCGATGCAGTTGTATAGGTGTAAAAGTACACAGACTGTCTCCTGGTGTCTTTCTATTACATACTCTCACTTTAAAGCAATCTTTCCAAAGGCTGTAGTTTATGAACACTGGCACCAAAGGATGGTAGTGTGTAATTCTATTCAAATATCAGGACAAATAACAGGCTCACTTTAAATATGAACAAACTTACCATCCTCTTTTGCTGAATCCTTTACATCTCTCATGAAATCTCATATATACATATAACTTTCTACCTTTCTATTAACCTTTAATTTCTTTCCCTATGTAAACAAAAACAGAACCTCTCCTAAGTTATCTATCCTTTTTTTCACAAAGTGCCCTGGACTGCTGATCTCTATATCTCTGTCTCAAATACAGATCTCGTCACTGATAACTTGGGCTATTCAATTACCCTGTAGTCAATTTTACTTCCTAATTAGCCATTTGGCAAAGAAAATTAAATTTATCAAAGAACATTCAAATTCCCCTACTCTGTTCTCCAGTAAGTTTAAAAAAAAAAAAAAAAGACAGAAGGAAAACCCCAGGAAAGCCTAAAATAAAAATAACCAATAAATACATTCACATATCTACATGAAATGTAGAACTTTGAATCTCTCCTGATACCTAAACAGGAAATGAAGGACTTTCCCACATAATCCTTTCTCTGGGGCAAGCTTAATTGCAACTGTAGGATAAATTAATTTTATGAAGGTTGGAATACATAGATTTAAGTGTGAGCTTAAACAAAATAACACTATTTTATTTAAATAATTTGAATATTTAAACAAATTTGCCAACCTATTTGAATATGATCCAGTTTTTGATACCTGCAATTTTCTAGTCAATTTATGTAGTGCCCTCCTCTATTCAATTCTACAGATATTAAGTAGGTGATTCCTATGTACCAGGATTATTCTTGTCCCTGTCGAACCAAACTCTGTTTTTCAAGAGTCAGTTTGCATCCCACCTACCTCACAAAGCCACCCTTATCTGTTTTAAGCCTCATTGATATCCCTCACCTCTAAATTGTCAGAACATTTACAATACAAAACACATGCTATCTTGTTTTGTTCTGATTAGTCACTGGTCAATTTGAATCAATCTTTTTGTACCTTGAATATATCACACATCTGAATATTCACAGTACCTAACACCAATCTGAGCACTCAGTACACCCTCAAAGGCAATTAACTGGCTAACTGGGAACCACAGTAATTTTGAACCAAGAATAACAATTTAATACTGAACAATATATCTAAAGTAACCAAGGGCCACAAAACAAAAATAGTCTTATTACAGCAGCAAACAGTTCTTTACTCTCTCATATTCTTTCTCTCTCTCTGTACTGGGGTTTGAACTCAGAACCTCGAGATAGGCATGCACTCTACCACTTGAGCCACATCTCTACCCTCTTTTTTTTGGAAAAAACAGTTCTATTTTTAAATAACATCTGATGACTGAGAGAAAGTATACCAGTAGGAGAATTTATGACAAAATCTGGGAGTCAAAAATCTTCACAACTGCAATCCTAGCATTAGGGAGGCTGAAGTAGGAGGAGGATGAGTTTGAGACCCGGCTACATTGTGAGATCCTGCCTGAAACAAACAATTCTCTTCTATCCTAAACAGGGATGGTTTGGGGGAGTCACTGCTACTAAACTACTAGAAAATTGTGAGAAAAAGAAACCACGTATCAAGAAAATAGGGAGGAGAAAAAATAAAGGGTAGGAAAAAAGTAGGGGGTAAACTAACCCTGCAATATTATAACCTGGATCACAGTTTTCCCTCCCCCTCCAATCTATAAATGATCTAAGAAGGAAGGTAAGAAAAGCAATTAATACCGAGTGACTCGACACAATGAAAGTGTTAGGCAAATACTGATAACGTGAAAATGAATTTTAAAACCCAAATAGAAGACAATTCCAAATGGGATTAAACTTTCCCTCAATTATGCTGTCACACTATCTGATTTACTTTTCTATCTTATACAAAAGTTTTGGAATGTAGCCGTCTGAGACCAAATCGATTTCCCTCCATTCTTGAGGACAGAGCTGCTATTTTCATCCCATTTCTCCAAACTCGGGTCTCAGTTTCTTTCTCTGTAAAGTGGGGCTAAAATCGGCACCTAATTCATTGGCTTGGTGTGAAAATTGAAAAACAAAAAAAACAAAAAAACCCACGTAGCGTGTTTAGTCCAGTAAATTATTACAGATGTTAGCATGGTAGTAACAGTAATAATTGTTACTGTTATTAGCCGACAGCCTCCCACAACTCCTTCTCCTAGGTTTTTCGGACAGACTTCAGGCCAATCCCCTGTCACCAAGAGGTGGGTGCCCCGAAGACCCCGCTCCCACCCTACCCAATCTAGGAGGGACAAGCCCCGAAACCGCCGCGGAGGCCGGACATAGAGGCGCGGACGACGCTAGAGGTTGGGTAGCGACCTGTAAGCCGTTCGAAAATCACGAAGAACCGAGACCAGCGCCCCAGCTGCTCCCTACTTTTCACCCCACGGCTCACCTCGCCTCACTTCGCCTCAGCTCTGACAACCAAGCCCCGCAAGCCGGCCGCGGGTCTCTTTCAGTACCGTTGAAATTTTGAACCCAGGCAGCCCAGTCAAATGCACCAATCAGAGCGCCGGGAGAAGAAAATCCCAGCCTCCTGATTGGCCCCAGAGACCGCAGCGACGCCGGAAGTCAGGAGGAGGGCCAAGTAAACAACCGGCAGAGGAGGTTTCCGGGAAATATAGTCTCAGGAACCAATGAAAACCAATGGGAACAAAGCTTATGAAGACATAACTGCAAAGCCCAGAATGCGCTGCTCGTAACTATTTGGGAAAGGTGGTACCAACTGCAGAAGGGGGGAATCTATTTAAATCCTCCTACGGCACGCATGCTGGGCCTTCCTAACGCATCCATGGAAGAAAACTTTTTCTAAACTCGATCTTAAGAAATTATTCTCTCCATGCTTGTGCATTGTGTTTTTAATATTTGTTGGAATTTTCTTCATTTTCTCAAGGGATTTCCTACCTGCAACATAGACTCGCCCCCAGCGTCTCTTCCCAATTGTAATCTCTTAAACTCCTTGTTGAGTCCCTTCCTGGACTTTATCAGGCTGAAAGCCGCAGCTTATTGGTTGTTTTCGTCGTTCATTTTTAATCTCAATTGTACTCCTAGTTTGGGGGGGGTACTGGGGTTTGAACTCTGGGCCTCACACTTGGCTAGGCAAACGCTCTACCCCTCCACCAGTACACTCCTAGCTTTATTATTCATTCCCTTGTATAAGAAAATAACTGCTCAAAAAAAAAAACTGAGTAAACTTGTCCGAAATCGCATAAGTGGAGGACATGGGAATTGGATATGTCTGTTATTTTTATACATAATCAATCAATTGGATTGATGGATAATAGCAACAACGAGAACAAAACCCCTTTTATAATAGCAACAAAAACTACGAAGTTATAAAAAATAAACTTAAGGACTGGCGGAGTGGCTCAAGCCTGCCTTGCAAGCGCTAAGCCTGAGTTGAAACCCTATCCCTCTCACACACACACAGGAAGCTTAAGCCTTTAATGGGAAAAATTAAAACTTTATTGCATAGCTATTTTAAAGTTAGATTATTAGTTAGATTATGGATGGAGAGATACAACATTGTAAAGATGTTAATTGTCCAAATAAAAAAATAATACAAATCCCAATAGGTTGGACTGGCAGGGTTGCTCGAGTGGCAGAGTGCCTGCCTAGGAAGTGTGAGACCCTGAATTAAAACCCCAATAACGCCAAAAATAATAATTACAAAATAACAAATTCAATAGGTTTTGTAACAGAACTTGCCAAGTCAATTTTAAAATAAGTTCACATGGAAGCTGGGAGGCAGTGGGTCACGTCTCTAGTCCAAACTACTAGGGAGGCAGAGATCAGGAGGATCGCTGTTTGATGCCAGCCCAGGCAAATGGTTCGAGAAACCCTGACTCAAAAACACCCAACACAAAGAAGGGTTGGTGAAGTGGCTTAGGTCGTAGAGCGTCTACCTAGCAAGCAGGTAAGTCCTGAGTTCGATACCCAGTACTGCCAAAAAAAAAGAAAAAATAATTCATATGGAAGAGGAAAAGCCCAAGTGGCATCTGAAGTTTTGAAAACTGGCCGTGTTAAACTAAATTTGGCCTGAGGATGCCTCAGCACTGAAGTCCTTACATAAGGAACTGCATATAGCCTAAATCGTAGGAACACAACTGAAAACTTAACTTAGTACACTGTACTCTTGTAACAAATAATTGAGACTCAGTCAATCATACGTAGACTGCCAACTGACTCAAATAAGGCAAAATGTGAGCAGTGAACAATTAAGCCATCTCTGCATCTCACTTCTGTTTTCTCTGCATAAATGCTGTTTGCCGGTGATGTAAACCAGAGTTCTTGGAACTTGTTCTAATTCTGAGGGTTGGGGATTGTTCTTTACTCAATTAAACTCTTTTAAGTTTGTCACAAGTTGCTTTTTGTTTTTTTCCTTTTAACAGGGAAATAACGTGCCAGGTTTCATACCTATTAACATGAAATTATAGTAATTTTTAAAGTGTGGTTTGGTTCATTCACACCATGGGGGTACAATCAGCAAAACTCAAACAGGAAAATTCAATAGGATGAGAGATCTACTGTTTTTAAAAAGTAAGGGATGATCTGGAGGTGCAATTCAAGCTATATAGTGCCTGCCCAGCAAGCATGATGCCCTGAGTTCAAACCTCAGTACCACCAAAAAAGTAAGGGCTGGTTGTGGTGGCTCATGACAACAATCCCAACTACTCGAAAGCAGAGATTGGGAGGATCATAGATTGAGGCCAGCCTGGGCAAAAAGTTAGCAAGACTTGCATCTTGACCAAAAACTGGATGCCTGTAGGCATAGGCAAGAGGATCACAGTCTGAGGCCCATCTGGGCAAAACCTAAAGACACTAATGAAAAAATAACCACTAGCAAAAAAAAAAAAATAGAGAGCTGGAGCATGGCTCAAGAGGGAGTAGGGCTTGCCTAGCAAGTACAAAGCCCTGAATTTAAACCCTAGTACTGCCAAAAAGTAAATAAATTGCTAGGATTTTGTTTCATAAACATCCTTGTGTTTTAGAGATAATGTACAGACATGGTAAGGATAAAATGATTCTAGAACCTGCTTCAGAATGATTGGGAGTATGCAGAGTAGGGAGGAAGGTGGGAGTTTAGATGCCACAAGTTGATAACTGCTGAAGCTGAATTCAATCTCAAAGGCCCTGAACTCAAAGGGCCTGAGTTCAAACCCCAGAGCTGCTAAGGACAAAAAAAAAAAACTTTAGAGGGAAGTGGCCAACATCTATGTCAACTGGCTGGCAGAGTGGCTCAAGCAGTAGAGCATGAGGCCCTGAGTTCAAAGCCCAGCACTGCCATGCTCTCCTCACCAAAACAGGGCCAACTGTGAGCTGGGTGGCAGTGGCTCACATCTATAATCCTACTTGCTGGGAGGCTGAGATGGCAAGGATCTAGCTTCAAGGCCAGCCCTCGTAAATAGTTGTAGAGACCCCCATCTCCAAAATAACCAGAGCAAAATAGACTGGAGGTGTGGCTCAAGAGGTAGAGTGCCTGCTTTGCAAGTATGGAAGCCCTGAGTTCAAACCCCGGTCCCACCAAAACAAACACATATAGATATAAAATGTCAACCATGTGTGCACTGTGACCTAGGACTTCCATTTCTACATTTAGCTCCAAGAGACACACTCAGTCACTGCTGCAGAGCAGAGCCAAGCAGAAATGATCCAGGAGTGTGGGTACTCCATGGACTGGTCTACAGTTGCTCTGTGGGCTGGTGCTTTTTTTTTTTTTTTTTTAAATAAGGCGCTCCCATTATTTACAATGGATTTTGGATAAACAAGATCTGTTGAAGGAGCGCCAAAAGGACTTAAAGTTTCTCTGAGAAGAAGAGTGTTGGAAATTATATTTTTTACAAATGTTATCCGAGCACTAGGTGAACATCTTAAATAAGACACCAAGTTATTGCCACTGCTACAGTTTATTTCAAGAGATTCCACGCCAAGTATTCTCTGAAAAGTATAGCTCCTCTAAAACATGACTCTTACCCATATATTGTTGGCATCCAAAGTAGAAGAATTTGGAGTAGTCTCAAATACAAGATTGATTTCTGCTGCTACACCTGTATAAAAATCTAGATTTTCAAATGCCTTTCCAAAGGAATTTCCTTACAGGATGAGCCATATATCAGAATGTGAATTCTATCTTTCAGAACTAATAGATTGCTGCTTGACAGTGTGCCATCCTTACAGACCTTCACTCCAGGATGTGCAGGACATAGGCCAAGGAGACCTGTTGCTTCTCCTTGGATGGGAGATAGTGAATGATACCTACCCAACGATCTTTGCCTACTGTACCCTTTTTTCATGATAGCTTTAGCTAGCCTACACGTAGCTGTGTTGTACAGCAGAAAGATGCCAGACAATGGTTTGCTGAGCTTTCTGTGGATCTGGAGGGGATTTTGGAAGTTATCAGGGTTATTTTAATACTATATGAGCAGTGGAAGAATTTTCACGAGAGAAAAGAGATGGCAAGTATTCTTGGTAAGATGACGAAACCAAAACCACCTCCCAACAGAAATTCCCGGAGTGATTCTCCACCAGTGGCAGGGCCTAGAGCTACAAGATAATGGTGGACAAGATAAGGCAATAATCCCATTGCCACAGTTACTGGTATTTTCAGTTTTAGTTATTTCTAGTTTAAGTATTCAGTGTTTTCCAGGAAATTACTGTGTTTTTTTTCTGACTTACAAAGGTTTACTGTACTTACATAGGATTTTATTATGCCATTGGACAACAGGGGTTTTGTTGTTGTTGTTGTTATTGTGTTTTGGAAGAACACTTTCAATTTTCCTAAATAGTAGAAATAGAATTTTTATCTAAGATTTAATTTTGAAGGAAATTTGTTCACAAAAACCTATAATCTCTATGTTGAGTGATACCTGTAATAATAATAAAATCCCACATCTTAATTTAAATTTCTGAGTGTGTATGGACACTAACTTGCAGACTGCTTGTTATGTGTGAAGGTACAAAGTTCCAAACAATAAAAACGTAAAACCAAAAAAAGAAAAAAGGCACACTCATCCTCATCCACACAGAGGCATTATTTATTGACTACCTACTATGTGCCAGTCACAGTGAAAGGACCTAGACGAAAATCCCTGTCCTTGTGGAGCTGACATTCTAATGGAAAAGGCAGGCATTAAACAGGTTAATAAGTAAAAGATTTGGCAAGTTTAGCGATGATAAGTGCAAAACTGTTTGCTGACAGGCCACAAAGGGTGGGTGGCAAGAAGAGAAAGGCAGGTGCTGGACACAGACAGTGGGACAAAGGAGGGTAGGGGTCTGCCTAGGCTGTGGCTGCCCCACTTTCAGCACACACACCTGCCAGCAGGCATGTGCAGGGCCACAGAGTAGACAGGTATGGGTGGTGATGGGAAGTGCCTTGCTCTGAACTAGGAGAGAAGGGGTATCAGAGCTGTGTAGGTGCCTTTGAGACAGAAGGTGCTCAGTGACTGGCCAAATGAATGAATGAA